GTTCGTGGATGGTGGGGGGGCGTGAAAACCCGCGCTTAGTCAGCTCTAAACTGACGCCGGGGCGTCAGTGTATTGGGACCCTACTTCCTTGATATGAGCTTTCAAAACATATCCTATTCTCTATTCCGGTTCCGTACAACCTCTTCTTCCAGTCCTCCTTGCCACTTATGCCATCTCACCATCGTTCCGGAAAACGGCTCGCGTCATCGCTATCACGACAGGTATTCATCACGTGTCTATTTCTCCTTTTCACCTGCACTTGCAACTCGAGTGGAGAACTAGAGGAAGATGTTGGACGCGGTTGGGATGGAGTGCGGGAGGGAACTGTGCCAGCTGTGGTATATTGTTTGAATGAAGCACTGAGACCGCTGGTTGAGGCGACGAAAATGTGTGCGTTGGGAGGGGATGTTGATTTAATTGCCCTTGATGGCTATGAACAAGGGGTGAAGTTCATGGCTATTGATAGTTGGTCGTCGGCATGGAGCCATCGACCAGTTTGTCTTGATGATGGAGGAGAGATCGTGAACGAGGAGGTCGGACTTGAGGGGGAGGGGGAGGAGAGGCTTTGTGTTTACACCAAAGCGGGGTTCAATCGCGGACGAGGGGTATCGATTGTTACCACCCCCTCCGTCGCCCAGAAATTCTCTTCGTTACCTGCCTGCCGTGCTCCGATGGCCGAAAAGGGCAAGGGAGAGAATGGCGACGTGGAAGATTCTGCGATTTGGTACACGAAAAGTTTGCCTGGCAAGGGTATAGGTATGTTAGCGAAGAAAAATCTTGAACGGGGCGATTTGATTCTGGAGTCGAATCCTGTTTTGATCGTTAACTCTGCAAAGACGTTGGGGAGGAAGGCTGGGGAGGAGATACTTGGGCGAGCGGTTGAGCAGCTGGGGGTTGAGACTAGGAATGCGTATTTGAGGCTTTCGAGAGGACTGGGGGATGAGAATGTGAAAATGCAGGATATTCTGAAGTGGGTTATCTCCTCGGATATTGTGTGGAATTGTTGTCGTGTTGGTGTAGTGTTGTGGTTTAGGATGTTGTTCTGAGACTGGCTTGATAGCCAAGAACATATGCTGATTCGTCTGTCTGGTTTGGTAGATCAAATACGTTTGAGGTTCGAGTTGGCTGGTTGATGCATCTCGCTATTTTCTTGGAGCCAGCGAGGTTGAATCATGATTGTGCACCGAAGTAAGACCTCATTTGGAGATAGTGGATTCTGGCTGACTTTAGAAGTGCGCAATATTATGTCGATTCGGAGACTTTGACACTTTATGTCCAGGCTGTAAGACCTATTGCTGAAGATGAGGAGATTACCATTTCTTGTAAGTCTTCAGTTGTTGTATAGGGGTTGTTCTGGGTTCGAGCCTGAATCGTTGATTATTTGACTCGAATATCTCCTCCTATTGTTAAGGTTGCCGAGCTGTTATAAACCCCTATTCCCCACGGTCTCTCTTCATCGCCTTCGATCTTCTTCTTACCATTTACAGACACAAGCCCGTTCCAAAAAGCAGCAGCCAGACAAGAACACCTCCACCAAGCATTCCACTTCACCTGCAGCTGTAATCTCTGCACGACAAGCCAAGAATCAGACAAATCTCTCACAGAGATCAACGAGATCCAAGAACGTCTCGGAGACTGGGATTCTGACACGCCCGTCCAGCCCGATGAAGCGCAACGTCTGATTGAACTTTATCAAAAGTTGAACCTGCATGCCTTCCTAGACATGCCATTTGGATTCGCTTCTTTGATGTATAACTCTTTTGGGAAGGAGAAGAAAGCAGTTAGATACGCTCGTATGGCTGCTGAAGCGGCGGAGAAGAGGTATGGACCCTCCGCGGCGGATTTTGGGATGTGGCAGAGAATCATTGGGTTTCCTAAAGGGCATTGGAGTTGGAGGTACCGGGTGGATCGGTGATTGTAAGAGGATACGATGCCATTTCATGTATGATCACGGTATTCGAAACGATATCTGACTGCAATCAAAATAAGCTGTCCGCCCACGAAGGAGTAGGACTTGGGGTAGAAGGGTATCGTTCATGGTAGCATGGCAGGCAAGTCCAAGGCACAGTAAACCATATCCTGGGCACACACAGAATATGTTATTTGGCCAAGTTTAGCACAGCTAAATTAGAACAGAAGACTTGCAAGAAGACTGTAATTAAGAGAGATGTGTCAAGCTCAACCTTTTGTGTGATTGAATTTGATTCACTGGGTTGTTCTACGTCTCTGACCAATAAAATCCAACTAAAGCTTGTTTGATATACGTGGAAAAAAACGACGTCTGATTTTCTTACTATGCCTATTATAATTACAGTCGCACTGATTACATTTCTTGTGAGTTCTATAGAAAGACTTTCATTGGTTTTAGAGGTTCCTTTATTCTTCCTAATTAGTTTGGAGGGACTATAGGCGCTATAACTTGTTAAATTGTGTAGCCTCTTCCTTTATACTAGATTCTCTTCTTTCTAAGGTACGCTTGTATCTTTGAGATTATGGTAACACAACTTAATGTCTTCACTGCCTCGAGAACTTGAAAGCCTTTTATTATCGTGAAAATACAAACCAAATATTCTCCAAATAGATACAAGTCACTTTTCCATGATCCTGGACCTTTATATCTACCATATCCCGCTAATTCTGATCGCACTATAAAACATATTCGGCTTCTTACTCCTGGCAATTACCTCCACTTAACCGCAGGTAACAGCATCTCTATATGACCACAACTTAACTTTATTCGACCGTAAAATTGACATAATATCAAACAATCAACGTGGATATTTCACACCATCGCCACTAACCAAGAATGAAAAAACTGCTGCCTAGCGTCGATCTAATATGTGATACGAGGGTTGAATATCCCAACTGATGTGGTACAATCTATTTTGTTTGAGTAAGACAATCAAAGTCGCGTAGCTTCATTTGAGGAGGATACAGCCAATTTGTTACGGCAAAGTGATTTTTGGGGGCATATTAGCCAACAACCGAGTTAATATGGCCAGTGTGCATGACCCCGGTGTCGCCGTAGGCTCTTGATGTGAAAAAAAAAATGTGACAATCCTTTGGACGTAAACCATTTCTAAATTTGAAAAGGATGCGGGTTATATAAGTCGCTTCAAAATCCTGCTTACAATCTTTGCCCGTCCTCGTTAAGAATTCGTTGAGAAAGACATACATTGTTTACTAGCCAGAACGTCCCACGAACATCGCACTTCATTTTCCCTCAAGCAATATCACATCAAAACCCAAAGCCCATAAGATACGCCACACTCAAGATGCACCCCATACTCGCCTCCCTTACTATCTTCCTCCTCCATCTCTCCCTCTCCAGATCTGCCCCTACAGATTCCGCATCAACCATGTCCGCAGCCCCCGCTGAGGCCAACGCCCATCTAATAAGCATGTCATACTCCGGCTCAGGCTGTCCTCAAGGCAGCGCATCCAACGCATACGATTCATCACTTAACACAAACCGATTTTTCTTTCCGGGGATCTCCGCCAAAATCGGACCCAACGTGCCTCAAGACCAAAAGACTGAGAACTGCGAGGTCCAGCTGTCGATTGCGACAGCTGCTGGGTGGAGATTTGCAGTCAAGGGGAAGAATGATGATAGTACTGTGCTGAAGACGAGAGTTGATTTGAATGGTGATGCGACGGGAAGTTTGCTCAGTACATTTTATATTGCGGGGGCTGATTCGGTGAGTTATTCTGCTTTCTACACTCTAGATTTCAGTCGGAATATTTGTTTATAAGTGTATAGGCGACTGTGCGATACGATTATACAGGTCCACGAAGTGGCGATTTGGCAGTCTCTGATCCAGCTCCTGGCCCAGCATATCCTCGTTCTTCCTGTGGAGGTGGAATTCTGGTCGTCAACCATCGAGTGGCTCTTTCAGGAGGGAGCTCGGCTGCTGGAAGCATGGAGCTTTATGGTGATGCTGGTGGGAGACCGAATAGTAACTTTATTCCGTGGGGTGCTTTGGCTTGGGAGCGATGTTAGATTAAGGCGTGGGAGGCCATTGTATCGGGGTATCGACCAAAAGTGTAGACATTGGAGTTTTTGGGGGGTTTCACAGGGGTATTCAATGCTGTGAATGACTGGGCTGTGTTATAATAGTTGCGAAATGCAGAAAAAATTGGTGGTCTGTCGGAAGACAAGAAAAGTGGCAGAATCCTTACCTGTTTTGACAGTCAGTGTAACTTAAGCCTTTCTACTTGATATTTCTAGTTATGTCGACTTAATACAAACAGTCAACTCAAATTCCAAGATAATCAAGGCCATTGTTCTACAATTTTGAACATTTAAAAACTTCACAAATCAACTTGGACTAAAGAAAGAATAAGAACCTCTCTCTACCACTTGTCGTGTTCACTGCGAACTAATGTACCAGGAGGCAGAAATTTATTCTTCCTAACAGAGTTCCGCCTTTGCATGGACGACAGAAGTCATGATGGATCCCATCCCCAGCACTCCCTCTGCCTATCACTGGCTCTCAAACTCTGCCACCCCACATGTGCCTCGGTTATCTCGAGTATATGCAAAAATGCTTTCTGCTCATCAAGCTCTGCAAATCTTTCTCCACCTGTAATTGAAACCAGTCAACATTCCAACAGTCTTTGATAAAACACATACGCGATGGACGGGAAGTAGCGTACACATAGAAACAGCTGCGCCAGCGGCGAATAAACAAGGGGTAAAATGACGGTTTGAAGTCGCAATGCCGCAAATTCTTAGGACTTGTTCTTTTATCTCGATCTGGGTTCTCGTGTCAGCTGTATTTGAGCACAAGGGGACAGGAAAGCTTGCGTCTCTTTTCTTCAGTATCTTGATACGTTCTGGGCCAAGTGGTGGTATTGCCGGGTCTTGAGCTAACAGCAAAATTCTCGACATAGCAACGAACTGATGCCCGGCCACTAAACATTTCAGCTCATGTATACTAAGTAGGAACTGCAAATTATATACCATGACAGTCATTCGCAAACAAGACTTCTGGAAAAACCATTCCATTCTCTGGATCTGCTTGTTCCTCATACAATGGTGTAAAGCTTGGTGGGATAGCTGCCTCCCACATCCGTAGATAGTCAAAAAGCTCGTTCAATCGCTCCAAAGTCTTACACGGGCCATTGCAGTATGTTAGCACATCAGCAATGTGAGCGAGGATTCGATGTGTCCAAGTCCAGTCGTCGGTTTCGCTTAATGATCTATCAACCGAACCGTACTGCACGAACTGTGAGGGTTGTCGATTCATCATGATGGCAATGTGAATCTCTTGCCGGAGCTCAATTATTGATGTGGCGTAACGAAGACTAGTATTTGGGGCCGTGGATGGATGTGTGCGGGTTCGTTGGCGGGCATCTACAAGCATGTGGGAACCTAGAACGTGTTGTTCTGTTTCAGGCTGGTCCTTTACTAAATATTATCAGCTAATCGTCACGGAATGGCTTTCTTTTTTACCAGTCATTTCGTCTAACAGACGAAGTATTACTGTAGCAGCAAACAGTGTTTCGTCAAGCAGAATATCAGGATCCTCGAGAGTTGGAATCAGTATATTGAGACATTCTTGATGATATTTATCCGGTATGTAACGATCGTAGTTCTGAACCAGACTGAGATGTTTCAATGAGATAGCCAGGATGGCGTAGTACAGGGCGGGTGAAGTAGCAGCAGCTTGGATAACGACAGTCGAGAAGTGTCTATACTGAGCTAGGTAGTCGAACTGTTGTAAGGACTTAATTGCAGGTCTCGAAGTGGGAATTTCTAGGAAAAGATACCCATACTGATAGCTCAGTGGCAAAATATTGCATTAATTTTGACTCGGCTTTTGTACCTGGCCAAAGGACAGTTTTGGGCTTCTTTGGCGATGTAACAGATAAATGGGAGCATTCATGTGGAGACAAGACGATCGACACAGGCGCTGCCACTTCCCTTGATAGCTGATCTGGAGATTGCACCGTTGGATAACTGGGAGCGTCCTCACTAGATGATAAGTTTTCGAAAGAAATCTCGCCGGTTTCGCTTGACAGGCAAGGTGCGGTTGTTTCTAAAGTGATATAAGATTCATGGACCCTCTCTTTAACGAATTGGACTGAGACCGTTAGACTGATCGAAGACATGGACTTGATAAACATACGTGATGATGGCAAGTCTACCCAGACCTGCTTGTCATCAAATAACATTGAACATTGCTTTCCTTGCGGCTGCACCGAAGGATTCTCCTCATGTCGGAAAACATACTTGATGGCTTCTACACAACACCGAGATGCCACTGAGCAAGGCCTACAGGGGAAATTGAAGTCACCTAGACATTACGTGTCAATTATTGAAAAATGGGATGGGATTGTACACAAGACTTACACTTCAGGTGTCTACGCTGGCATTCATCGCTAAGAGTAGTCAGCTGGTGCTGTTTCCACGCTCCTACGAAGGCGCATACCAGGCACGTCTATACTTCGGCATTGGCTTGCTTCCAAGCCAGCGGAATCTGGAATTGGGCCTTGATTGTATACTTCATGAAATTGTCGAAGCATCATCTACCTATTGTCTTCTCAAAACAGAGTGACCGCGTCGTCCTGTTTGGTTTAGAGTTTGAGTTCGTATCCATACCGGCATCAACCCAACGGGGAAGATTTCCATGTTCAGCCCCCATGTCGGTGGTAGTGGGGAACTAGCCGAATTAGGGAATTTTCTCCATCCAGAACCATCACATGTTGGCGACCCCTACAAAACAACTCTCTCCTAGTCGCGGGAACTATGTCTGTTTTGCTTTATGGCTTGAAATCATGGAGACGGGGAAACTTCCCCAGACTGGCCAGTGCTGTTTGCCCCACCGGGATGCTGTGTCTATCGACATAATACGACGGCGGAGTTAGTGACTGACGGGTGGTCTAATCTGCTGCTGAGGTCATGTATATAAAAGCCACTTTTTACTTTTTGTCGGTTGTTTCTCAAGATATCCCATCACTCATCTTGTATCTTTACTCCTCACCTCAACATTTCATTATGGCGCCATCCGTAATCGACGTAACAATGCAGAGCTCCCAGCCTAGCGATGCCATCAAAAAGGCACCGGGTAAAGCCATCTTGCCAGACTACATCGTGCCACTACGTCCAACCCCAGCCGATACTCCCATGTCAGAAATCCGTCGGAGGTACGAGGAAGATGGCTATGTATGGATGAAAGGTCTTCTGCCCACAGCCGACGTTTGGCAAACCCGAAAAACCTACTTTGAATTTACTGGCCCAACTGGCCTCATAAAAGAAGGAACTGACCCCAAAGACGGAATATACTGCGGGGGAGACTGGCGAAATGTAAGCCACCCCAGAAACCCCATACCATCCCCCTTTTGACATACCCTTTAGTGGGTAGCCCCCGGACCGTTCCGAGAAAGTCTCAAGCTTCAGAACTCAAATCTGGAGTATCAGAAGCGAATGGTCGAAGCCCACGCCGCACCATGGTACATGGCATTCGCCAGTCACCCAGTCCTACTAAACTTCATCAAAGACTTCACCGGCTGGGAAAAGACAACACCTTTGAAACGTTCCATCTTTCGACCAAACGTGAAAGGAGGAGAGCCAACCGGCATCCATTATGACCAAATTTTCCTCCGCGGCGGACCACCTACAGCCCTCACAGCCTGGGTTCCACTTGGAGACTGCGCCATAAACGGTGGTGGTCTGATGTATCTCAATGACTCCGTCTCAATTGGCGAGAAAATTGAGGAGGACTTTGCAGAAGCAGCAAAGGACTTTACAGATGAGCAGCGAATCTCTGCTTTCAACGCGCATATGATGAGTGGTGGCTTTCTCAGCAAAGACCTACGCGAATTTTCAAAGAAATGGGGAAGGAAGTGGTTGGCTGCAGATTACGAGGCGGGAGATGTGGTTTTCCACAAGGCATTCAATATTCATGCTAGTGCCGTCAACGAGTCGGACGTCATTCGACTGGCTACAGATTTGAGATACGTTGAGACTGAGAAGGCATTTGATGAGAGATGGATGGAGAACTGGAAGGTAAGTTGATACCTGCTCATGCCGGCGTAATACTTGCTAACCATGACAGCCTGATGATAATCTTTAAGATGGCTAGGATAAGACGAGAGTAACCTGGTAAAGTTCATACAACATGGAATAATTCGGTCTTTTGATGTTGCGATATATGGATGAACATGGCTTCATTTTGTTTGGTTCTAGATTTTAGGAAGAGCAATAAGTCAAAGACAGCACGTGCATCTGAAACCATTGGTCGTGTTCTCTATCTACACGCTTTTTTTTTGTTTAGTTTCTACATGATCGTTCCTACAAGAAAATACTTGAACCTTTGATCGAATTTTATATCAGATAATGTTTCCTGCTAATAGACCTGACGGAAGACACAGAAACTTTTGCTTGGTTTACAAGGGAGAAAGCCTAATTCGATGTTCATTTGATAAATGATCGGACTCGTGAAGTTATAGAGCCAAGCGTAGGAAGCCAGTGGGACAATCAGAAAAGGTCCTATGAAGTTTCTTGTGTTCCTTTTCGCCCCAGGCACAATCACTCCTTAGTCTATCAGATAGTTGAGAGACTCCGAACCCTCCTAACAAGAAAAGTGGCTGTGATTCCTTTACTATTGGCGTAACTTGGTTCAGAATATTTGGTTACTTTAGTTCACTAGAACAATCAAACTAGTTGACTTAAACCCCTTGAATAATAATAGTGATTGCCCTAATATATTTAGTGTATTCAAATAATTTAGACCAACTTAGGTTAATGGATAGAAAATAGCCCTCCAATATGGTGACTTTCTCTCACACCATCGGCCTGGTTGAACTTGGCACTTTTCTCAAGTTCAAAGAAAAATGACGTGTTGTCTTCTATTAACCGATTAAGATGTCACCCAAAGTTTCTTATAACCAATTCGAGCCTATATCACAAGACGCGGTACTGCAACTATCCCGAGAACCTGAATCCCGGATGATCGTCTCCAAGATTTTGTACCTCCGCTTCGCTTAGTCTCAGCCGATCGTTCCTCTCCCCTCTCTCCCTCTTCCCATTCTCCCACCTTACCCCAAAATGAAACACCGTACACGCAACTCCACAAACCAAAACCATACCAAGAGCAGACCCATACCCTGTTTTGAATCCTGGGCCCTCATTCTGAATAAAAATGAAACTTCCGATAATGCCAGAGATGTCGCCAAATCCTATCTGCATCGCCGTTCCGAAGGCTCGTTTATAGTGTGCTCCGAGGTTGTTCGAGAGCCAGACTATGACGAGAGGTTGAGTTCTATCTTCGTAAGCCATATTGTCAGTCATCGCTAGTTCTTTTTTTGGTCCACTCACATGTAGGTTCCTGTTGCAACAAAGAAGGTTGCGAGGTACTTGACCCTGTTAGAGAGAGCATGGGATGTACCGGGTTGGCCCTGAGCGAGGAGATGATATAGCCTATGCCGGCGATAAGAATGCCAATCATAGTGAAGGTATAGCGGTGCCTGAAGGGGTTGTGTTAGTTTCTGTAAGATGAAGGAGGAATGACATATATGAGTTACTTCAAGCGATCTGAGAGCCAGGCTACGGATAGTGTTACGACGGCACAAACGGCGTAAACGGGGACTGTGTGGAGTTGTGCCTATCCCGGTTTGTAGCCGAAGCCATTAATGATCGTGGGTAGAAAGAAGGAAATGGAAAATCCAGAGGTTGATATTCCGAGGTACATTAATACTCTGTCTCTGTCAGCGTAATCAGACTAGAAGGAAGGAAGTTTCATACCCAGCCCAGATCTTCCAATCCTTCATGATACGGTTGAAGCTATGTTTGTCTAGCCGATCCATTCGCGCAAATTCGTTTCCCCTGTCTTCGTCGAGACGTCTTGAAAGTAAGAGCTTTTCTTCTGCAGTCAAGAAAGCTGCAGTTTCGGGCCAATCAACGATGAAACATTTGGCGAGGATAGCATATGCTATGGTTGCCAGGCCTTCAATGATGAAGATCCTGGTAAGAATATTAGAAGATAGTTCCCATGAGAGGTTTCCTACTGTACCATCTCCAGCCCGAATAACCTCCATATCCGTCGAGTTTAACCAAAGCAAAAGCCAGTAGACCATAAAACCCCCCAGCAACAAATCCCGAGCAGAAGAAAAACGCAAACCTCTTTTGCAGCTCCATTCTCTTATAATAGAAGCTTATCAAGTATACGCAACCTACGAAAATCATTATCTAAGTTAATACGTAGAGGGAAAATGATAATTACCCGGGAAGGTACCAGCTTCGAAGATCCCAAGAACAAATCGACAGATAACCAGCCCAGCATAGTTGGTAACAAACCCTTGGCACATCGCGGCGATACCTAGGCTACATCAGCATATGGAGCGAAAAGCACAAAAGTATCTGTTGTGCTGGGTCTACTTTCTCTTTTGCTCCACTTCCTGATTTGATCCACTTATAGCTCTGCTGCCTAAATGCTTCATGTCTGCCTAAACCTTACACTCTTTATATAAACACCTTAGATAGCTACCTTTTACAAGGCAATCAATTCTCCATGACCTTCAGTACCCAATACCCTTTCAACCCAATATAAGACTATATAACTTTATTCATAATAGTTTGCGCAAGTTCCTTCTATAAATTTTATTTGTTTTTTATTAGTATAAAGAGTCTCTTCCGTTGTAACATTTCTATAATACCGCTAGCATTTTCTTTTATGCCCTCTAAATTCTTCCTACAACTCCGAAGCCTCCTTAAGTATCCTCTAGATCGTTGCCCATTACCGTTTCTGTTCACAGATGTACAATTTAGCTCGTTCCAGAACACTATGGGGGAAATTAAATGGAGAGGATAAAACCTGAGCGCAAAAGGTTGCTAGAAAGAATGGTTGGGGTGCGGAGGAGTGCGGGGATTGATAATATAATGAGAAAACTGAAAATAGAAACAGGGCTACCAAATCTTGTGAAAGAATAGATTTGGAAATGAAGATGATGTACAATACATAAAATTGTGTATTATTCATTGCTTGAAGCATGTATTACCAGCATTCATGCAGCCTTCTTCGCTTACTTTCCCTAACCTTTGTAGGCGGTTAAGAGTAGCGTATGCGCCAAACTTTCTCAATCGTGTACTGTAGCTCGAAACCCTTCGAAGTAGGACGAATTCTTCCACGTAAAGTGTGCCTTGATAAACATTTGTTAGGAAGTACTATAGAGAGCTTACCAATTTACCTGAAATATATTTAGAGAAAGCCCCGTAACGTTGATTAACTGGACAGATTGGGCCCAGAACAATTCAGCCATCCTAGCTATCCGTAATTTTGCTAACCGTGTGTCCTAAAATGACCATTATTCCTCGTACGGAATCTAGTACAAATACCCCTTGTGGACAATAATATTAGTGGAAAATCCGTCCCTACTAGCGTAACATGATCTGAATATTTATTGTTTTAGTTATTCGTACGAGTCAAATCAATCCACCAAGAGCCTGGAGGTATGATAAGTAATTGCCCACTAATACGTTAGATATTGGGATCTTTTCAATCAAAGTACGCCACTAGAAAGAAGAACCCCCACCACTTTCCTTGTCCACCAGGAGACGAGCATTCAAGCGAGAAGGGGGGATTATGCTAAGAAGTGATGCGACACATTGTATTAACAATTACCAAAATTATGAATTACATCTATACATCATGTCCGCAAGTTCCGGTGTGTGAGTCCTGTCCCTCAAGTCCCTCACCACTAGTCCACTGAATCGGCATCTCTCCAATGCGGCCAATATTTGACGACTCAGCAGCCTTAGGAAGAAGAGTCGCTCCATCAATCGCCAAATTCGCCAGCACATGTGCTGCAGTCTTAGCATTGATGGTAATGACAGTAGCGTTTGGGTTTTCGAAATTATCGCAAGCCCGGTGGTAACAAGGGTCTTGTTCTACGCCTGTTCCGGTAAAAAGACCACCAATTGGCTTCTTGAGGTTTTCCATGAAACTGACGTAATCACTACCACCGCTGAAAATTGCTGGTGTAACGTTGAGTCCTTTGCTTGTCAAGTCATCGACGAACATCTTCTCGATCACATCACTTCCAGCTGGGCCAGCGAGTCCGTGGGATGATCCGTCCCCGTCGAAAACTCCGAAGAATCCTTTGGAAACCATGTCAAAGTTTAGGTATGCAAGGAGGTTGGTCACATTGGTGGCATCAAGTTGAGCAGTGTAGTAACGAGAACCAACAAGGCCGTTCTCCTCTGCGGCCCACCATCCAGCACGGACTTTGTTCTTGGTTTGATAGGAGTTGAGAGCGGTGAAGAGCTCCAAAATCAAACTGGTTCCACTGCCATCGTCGTTGATTCCAGGTCCAGCTTGAACCTATGAAAAGTCAATTTTCAACTTCGATTATCAGGCAAGGAGTGATCATTCTTACACTGTCCAAATGAGCCCCAATCATGATGACATTGTTGGGGTCTCCGCCCTTGGTCTCTGCGATAACATTCCTTGTGATCTTGTTCTCGATGAGCTGAGTCTGTTGGAAAGACGCAATTATTGTCTCGTTAGCCGAGAGCCTTTGCACAAGTGCAAGTCCGTCAGAACGGTTGATGAATCCGCCAGGAACGAATTGCGCTGGGTTTGGAGCCGACAAGGTACCACCAGTGACACTGGCATTCACGTTGTTATAGATTATCACTGCGGCAGCACCTGCGGCAGCTGCTGGGAGAAGACGACCCGCAAGAGTTCCTCCAGTTGGGCAGGTACCTCTTTCGACAAGAACAATCTTTCCTGTGACGTTGAGTCCAGAATACCCTTCCACGGTACAGCCGACATCACCAGTTGGACCATGGGCAAGTGGCAGAGTCAGCCCTTCTGCACTGGTAGATGGCGAGTAAGTCAATCCGATGACGGGAATGCTCTCACCACCAGCTGCGAAAGAAATTGAAGCAACCTGGGTGAAAAGACCTGGAACGTCCTGGAGAAAGAAAGTCGTTGTTTCAGACAATTTCTCTAGACGTTCAACGATGAAATCGACAGATGCATCGTAACCTGGGAAACCAAAAGCTCGGTTGCCACCATTCGCGTAGGCAATATCTTCAAGTCTCTTGAGGCTTCCCATCAATCTAATATTGTTAGCAGGTAATGGAGTGCATCGGGTGCCATCAAGTTTGCATACCCCTCCTCGGTAATATCATTCTGAAGTCTCTCCGAAGTGACAAATTCGGGCTCAGAAGGAGGTGTTGCAACTGCCGAGACGGACAGGCATGCTGCGCCCAAGGAGAAGGATTGAATGAACTTCATCTTGTTGGTAGAAGGACGTGTGGTTTAGAAAACATTTTCGAGTCGAGAAGTTGGGATTATATATAAAAGAGTGTGTGTGTTGTGTGCTCATTGAGGGACAAATGTCCATGATAGGCAGCTCATCGCAAATACAACACTCTTCAATGCCAATTCTCTTATGACCTTCTGGAAAAGTATTAAGGTTGCGGGGTGGAGCATAAACAAGAAGGATAAAAGCCCTGGATGGCATTTAAATATCTTGGCAGCCTATAGCCAAGCTTTCTTGGCTTTGGGAAAGGCCTTCGTGCAGGCTGTATTCTGGCGCCATAGGGCCAATGAAAATGTCATTTACAGTACTTCGTAGAAAAATAAAGTGATATTCTGCGATATTAATTGTTTGAACCAGGAGTTACAAATTCATATCATAACGGTGGATTCCTCCAATGGTATCTCGAGTTGGCTGGATTGCCCTAAAGGTGGAATATTATATCGCCACGTGATTTCATATGTACAGTACAGTATCTGGTGGTATCAAAGAAAGAAGATTCCGGTAATCCGGATATGATCTTCATCTCTTAATGCAAATCCTTATCCACAAAACAATGCTTGAGTCAAAAATGTCTTACAGTGTACTCAAGTCAACTTACTGATTGAGAAATAAACAAAGTCTTTCTTATCTAGGATATTCTTCGTCATGGTTGATGTATCGGAAAGACCGAATTCAAGATAGTGAGAATGGAAAGTATTCAGAAAATGCTATTGGTTCTGTGAACCTACACGTACCCCGAGGCTCGAGCTTTCTCAGTTGATGCAATTTATGACCCAACTTCAGTATCTTGCTCAACAATATACTGGTTTCAGAAGCCAGTGAGGGTGTAGTCTACCAATGTTTTGATCCCACCTGATCGAAATATTTGAATTCCTTGTATTAAATTGTTTTAAGTTCTCGCAAGATCTTTGGCTCGGATGATCATGTTTGTCCTGTGTTCGTTTCGTGGAAGTCTTTAAGAAAGTTTTCTTATCCTGTCGGCCAAAGTGGCGAGAAAAGCCCTCGCCCCTTGCAGGGGTGGTTCTCGTCCTCTTCGAGCGGTCGACTGCATGATCATTCTCACGTAGAGAATAGCTTTCTGGGACCGAGTGTTTCTTGGTGGTTTTTAATAACTCGAACCCATTGTTGTATTCATTCTTCCTTGATTAGCTCGGCTTTACGGTATTGGAACTGATTTAGGTGGTTGCCCGTCGCCACGGAGTTCAAGGGTATATTTGAAATGCTGAAAGGATTGCCAGAAGTGGCCTCCTATAACATACCCAAGGTAATAACAGCGCGTAAGCCCGTTACTTTCCTCTTCGGCTCTGGTATATTCTGTCCACCAATTATAGAACTGTTTATTTTGACGCAGAACTGGAGAAATGTGTGGTAGGTATATTGACATATAGTACACTAATCACTTTGATTGAATCAAGTTCACCTACTTGAGCTTCGTAAAACATCATACGGTTATATAATACTAATATCGGGAGATATAAATTTAGTATTTATATTAAAAGTGTTTGTTTAAAAATGTTATTTTGCTCAAAAATGTTATTTGAGAAAAGTCAAACAATTCAATCTTGTGAATCAAATATGTGTCTATAAACAATCATTCAATTCCACAATTAGCATGTAATTTATATTAGCTCGAATTCTGCCTACGTAAACGGTTACATCGCTTGGTTATGTTTCTTTGAATTTCGTGGCTTTATCGTTGAAGGGTAATAATGACAATGGAAGCTACTCGTCACTAGTTTAAAATACACCATTCTGAGATTATGGGAGCCTTAGGCGAATGGCTTGGTTGTATTCCGCACAGTTGAGACAGTCGAGACAGTCACTTCGCCCCAGTGTAACGATCCCATGTGATTCTCAATTATTCACCATCATCCCTCTTATATTTTTACTCTGAGAACGCTAAAGCATAAACAGTTGTTATTTCAAACAGTTATTGTGTCTTGTTATTCTTTATTTCATCTGCTTACTATTACTTTTTTTTTATATAGGAAAAAGAATAACCTGATATTATTTCATTATCTGCTACATCGAACATATCACAACTACCATTAGGTGCTAGGCTGGTCTGTGGAAGTACATTCTTTTGAAACCTCGAACTAGGTTTTCCCTCGATATTCAAAATTGTGCAGAATACGCTCTTCGCTTTCACATCGCTGAGGTGAAAGTTTTCCCAGCTCAACATCAGTTGATGGTGCGGATTTGGATGTCCATTCCTTTTTTCCCGCGTGGCTACTCGTCGCGTAGTACGACTCTTCGCCGGATATCTGCGATCTGCCATTCATTGGGAAGATTGCTGTTATGATTCCTCGAAAGGGGATCTTGCATATAGGGAGGCATGCACAAATAATGCCGATGTTTGATTCGATAATCGTCCATATGGAAGAGGCGATGTCATCTGGTACTTTCAGTTAATCGAATCCGGCAATGTGAGTCTACCAGGAGCATGAAGAAGGGGAGCAACATACACGTAGTGTCCATACTAGTAGAAGAAAAGTGAAGAGTCGTCGATCGAAGTACCGACGTTACCACTACACTTTTTACGAATTAATTTAAATCCCCGTTAAATCGGCATGACTTACAATCCTCCCAGCGCAAAAACAAGAGCCAAAGCCACTTTATGGGGTTTTTCCAACTTCAGAGAATAGACCAGTGGCATCGGTAATGCCAGTATGATAATATCTGTTACAATAGAGAACCCCGCATTTGCAAACCAACTTGCTGTAATGTTGATACATGATCCTTGGATTGTTTTATCCCATGCCCGTGGTATTGCTGAAGCTGCCAGGTCATACCAATTTCCATTCCGAATCATTGCTTGACTTACGATTACACTGCCATATCGATGCTGAAGTTGAAGCAATACCGTAGGTGGGCACGATTGCAAGAAGGATCCAACAGAGAATGCGGAACGGCCTCTGGACAAATATTCGGAGGTACAATAACAGGATCGAACATTTCGTGAGGTTGATATTGAGTTTATAGAAGGCTTGTGCAACGTAAAACAGCTTGCTGCGATCAGCTTACTACGAACTCCAATACTGCTTTGCAACCATTACCTTGAGTGTCATCTTCTTCTCCGTTGGAGATAGAGTTGCGATGTGCTTTCCGAATCCATAATCACACGCTGAAAATTTCTTAGAAAACATCTTTCTGAGGGTGAACAGGACATACAAGCCAACATGAGGGCAGATACCACTATAGCAAACGCCAAGGAGCCAAGTATGGTCCAGTCATCAATTCCCAAGTGGTTCACAGAACCACGAGTATGGCCCCAAAATCGGATTGCAACAATCAGAGGACACAGAACCAAAAATACAACAGCCGGAATTTGCACCTGGCGGGCATTGCTTCCATTTGGTGACATGGCCAATTTTTGTGACCTTTTGGTCTTTGTGCTACGAAGAAGTCATGAGAAGATATATAATAACCCGGATGACTCTCACCAAGGGGGATGTGTTTCTATTGCTCCCAAAATTCCGCAAATCATCTCATTTCAAGAACCAATCGCAGCGCCAATGCAACATCCTCAAGAGGTATCTTTCCGCGCAGGCGCATATTTACACGTGTTTACTCTGTCTGTTTGATAAACCCTGCGTAAGGAGGTCTCCATTACGACTAAGGAGTACAAGATCTTCGCTATTTCAATAATTTTCTCCAGCAAGGAGGCCGGAGGTCTAACCTCACAAGGGATGTGTTGAACTTTCAAAAACGTTCACAAGGCTGTCATTTGAGTGATGTAGGTCGTTGCGATATGAAATTGTGGCGTTATACTCGAGTATACAGCGTTAATTAATGACGGGTCGCGAGGCTGTAGCAGGCCAGATTGGCTGAAAGGATGCAAGGTCGCAAGTGTGTCCGGCTATCCACCTATCAAAATCGGCTAGTATTACTACGCTGGGATAAGCTGTACATTTATGGAGAAACCACCAAAGCCACCAAAGCCACCAGAGCTCGAAGGTCACTGTGGCAACTCCGAGAAAAACATCCGATAGGGTAAACATCCGATAGGGTTATAGGGTCGGTAAAGGAGTTGAGACACTTCCTTAAACTATTCCTGATCTTCGTCAGGAAAATCAGTGGAGGTAGTGGGTATGAAGGATATATGACAGCAGAAGTTTTTGTTTTTCATCCAGAGATGGTGGGTTCAATTCTGTCTTCCAATGATCCCTGGGTGATCGCACTATGGCTTTTTCTTCTAAGCCTGGAAGTCCACATGGCTTATTTTTCGATCAATCAACAAAATACAACACGGCTATCAACTTTACGCTATTACTGGACACGGATTTTGGTTAGAACATTCACATCTCATGCTTCTTTACTACAAGAACCTAGTACTGGACACGTATTTCGACTAAAACATTCATACCTCATGTTTCTTTACTCCACGAACCTAGTACTGGACGCTTATTTCAGTTGAAACTTTTACACCTCATGCTTCTTTACTCTACAAACTTGAATCAGGATTCCCAACTCGAAGGAGAGACGACACCATGGCACCAATCGACATCGAAATGAACCCTATGGACATGGAAACTGAAAAGATACCCGCCCATTCGGTCGAAGAGAAAGATCCTATTGTTTTCAAAGGCGAAAACGCTCACATTGAGCTCTCCCTGGCTGCCGAGAAACGTTTGGTTAGGAAATGTGATTTGAGAGTCGCGCCAGTTCTCTTTTTCTTGTATATGCTCTCGTTTCTCGACCGTATCAATATTGGAAACGCGAAAATCCAAGGCCTTCAGAAGGAGCTAAAATTCAGTGGCTCACAGTACAATATCGCCTTGCTAATTGTCTTCGTTCCTTTTATCTTACTCGAAGTGGGTTTCCTATACTTTATACACGTGCCGATAGTTCTCGCTGATTCCGTCAAGGTTCCCTCGAATATTGCCATGAAGAAAGTCAGACCCAGTACTTGGTTGTCTGGTCTTGCGGTTTGCTGGGGTACGATACTATTGGGTTGAAAGGGTATTGGGTACTGAAGGTCATGGAGAATTGATTGCCTTGTAAAAGGTAGCTATCTAAGGTGTTTATATAAAGAGTGTAAGGTTTAGGCAGACATGAAGCATTTAGG